GTTCCAGGACCCAGCCTATTTATACACACCCCAGCCCCCTGCTGATCAGTCTTTTGCCAAGGATTTGGCTGAGGCGGAATTAATAGGCAGGTCCAGGGTCTGCCATTTCCAGACCACTACATTTTAGAACACACTGGAAAGCAGGGAGAAGCAATTGAGCCTGGAACCCGCAGAACCCTGATCAGCCACAAGCAATTAAACTCTGCTTCCCGGAGCAAAAACTAAATTTACCTTATACTTTCTACAAACTTAACAGGGAGAGTGCTACTAAGGATAATGGCAATGCACACGATCCAAATGGAGAGAAGCTGGGTATTGCAGACAGGGCTTTTTTTATTTTACCCAAACTGGGGAATGATTTTATGAATTTATTTACGAAGATAGAGTTGGGCTTTAAGGCCCCCAGGGTGACCAGAAACGGCTGAGCCAAACAACATACTCTTTAGAAAAGATCAAAGTGGAACAGATGAAAATCTATTATGCTGATTGCATTTTCTTGCCGCTGGCTGCCCAGTTGCCTGTAAAAAACACATTATATAGAATGCGGAATTGCGCCTGAAACCCAGTTCTCGGTCACCGATGGCATAATTCAGAATGAAAGATGAAAAGAAGGTTTGCGAGCGCAGATTACGTTGTGCGGAGTCAGGAGTAAATGATTTCTGGAAATGTTATGGCTTAAGTCAGCGAATGATGCTCATTATTTTCACAACAGCCATCCAAGGTATGTGTTCAGTGGGGCTGCTTTGTGTGCTGGGCCAGCTGCGAGACTGCACCACTCTGATAACAATTAACCATGCCGATACCTGGTTAAAGATTACCTAGCAACTTGCGGTCTCAAAATCATCGTTTTATTGTCAAATACATTTGAAGAAACACAAAGGTGAGCTGTTGGTGGAGCTATCATTAGATATTTTATGTTCGATCCATTCATTGTCACTGTAACACTTCCAGGTATGTATTACTTTCCCAAAGATCACAGTGCTCCCCTAACAATGCCTTCACCTGCTTTTCTCTTCAGGAGGGCCCCATCAGAATGTCCACCGCAGTCCCACCGCCATTACTAGTATAAGAAAAATTCCAGTACATATACCGCCATTTGTAGACGCTATAACCTTCACGTAAACCAACTGATTTACATATATTGGGATTTTTTTTTAGCAAAGACATGTAGCAGAATACATTTTAGTCTAAATTTATGCGGAAATTTTTTTTTACTGCATATGTTTTATAGCAAAACATATGCAGTCTTTTTTTTTTGTTTATAGCGCAAAAAAAAATTGCACAGGTGATCAAATACCACCAAAAGAAAGCTCCATTTGTGGGAACAAAAAGGACACAAATTTAATTTATGTACTGCGTTGCATGACCATGCAATTGTCATGTAAAGTAACGCAACACTGTATCTCAAAAAATTGCCTGGTCAGGAAGGGGGGTAAATCCTCTGGAGGGCAAGTGGTTATATCTTGCTATTCAAGTGTCAAATGTCTCTACAGCCCAATGAAGTTCTGACACTTGACCATGGTGGTTCTTGCTAGGTGAGGGTGGGATTTCATTTTGACTTGGGTAGTCTGGGCCCGATATGAAGTCTGGGTATTGGATCTTAGGGGGGCTCCACTTGGATATAGGGAATGATTTGAAAAAAACAACAAGAGAGAGTAATCAGGTCCAGGCAGGGATCGAAGGCACCTTCAAACAAGAGAGGAGCCAGGTCAGTCTGGGTTTGCAACAGTCCGGCAATCTCACAACTAAGTATTATAGTTTCTCACACAAGGCAATAAGATGCAATGCTAGACACTTCAAATGCTGAAGCATTATACCTTTTTGGTAAGAGGATCTGCCCATAATTGTTTCTGGAAACTAGAAGTCCTGGCAGTGATTTTGCAAGTAACTCTGAATATCTTTGCAGGGATTCTGTGAATGCTATTGGAATCCCTAGCAGGAATTTTGTGAGTACAAGTGAAGTCCTGGCAGGGATTCAGTGGGTTCTACTGAAAATCCTAGCAGGGATTCAGCGGGTACCACTGGACATCCTGGCAGGGATGCTGTAAACTACCACTGGAAATTCTGGCAGAGAGTCCATGAGTACTATTTAAAGTCATGGCAGGACTGCTGTGAGTACCATTGGAAGTCCTGGAAGGGATGCTGCAAGTACCATTAGAAATGGCAGGGATGCTGCAAGTACCATTGGAAGTCCTGGCAGGGATGCTGCGAGGGCCATTGGAAGTCCTGGCAGGGATTCTGCAAACACTATTGGAAGTCCTGGCAGGAGATTATAGGAGTACCATTGGAAGTCCTGGCAGGGGATTATGTGAGTACCATTGGAAATCCAGGCAGAGAATGTGTCAATGAAGCAGCAAACACAAATGCTCCTGCGCTTGGGGATGGACTCGATGCAAGCTACAACCACATTAAGAATGTCCTGGAACATGCACACCTTGCTGCCCTCAATAGACCGGGGAAATCCAAATATACTGAATGAGGAAAGAACAAACAGAGGGCACACAGGCCTAGTGCATTACCATAAAAAATGTTTAATAAGAAATAAATTATGTGTTGTACTCACAAACGACAATAGAGTCAAGGCACATCATAAAGAACAGCTGGGTCAACACCGCGCTGAGTAACAGTCCGCAATAGGGAGTGTAGACATCCAATAGGCTGATGCATTTTGAGGACTTGCCTCTTCCTCAGAGCCAACTCAGTGCAATGTTGACCCAGCTGTTCTTTATGATGTGCCTTGACTATATTGTCGTTTGTGAGTACAACACATACTTTATTTCTTACTAAACATTTTTTATGGTAATGCACTAGGCCTGTGCGCCCTCTGTTTGTTCTTTCCTCATAGAGAATGTGTCAATACCATTGGAAGTTTTGGCAGGGGTTCTGCAAGTACCATTGGACATCCTGGCAGGGGATTGTGCAGGTACCATTGTAAGTTATGGCAGGGGATTATGTAAGTGCCATTGGAAGTCCTGGCAGAGAATCTGCCAATACCATTGAAAGTACTGGCAGGGATTCTACAAGTACTATTGAGGTCCTGGCAGGAATGCTGCGAGTACCATAGGAAATCCTGGCAAGGATGCTGCCAGGACCATTGGAAGCCCTGGCAGAGAATTTGCCAATACCATTGGAAGTACTGGCAGGAATTCTACAAGTACTATTGAGGTCCTGGCAGGAAACCCTGGCAAGGATGCTGCCAGGACCATTGGAAGTCTTGGCAGGGCTTCTGGTAGTACCATTGGAAATCCTGGCTGGGATGCTGTGAGGACCACTGGAAGTTCTGGCAGGGAATCTGGGAGTACCATTGGATATCCTGGCTGGGATGCTGTGAGGACCACTGGAAGTTCTGGCAGGGATTCTGGGAATACCATTGGATATCCTGGCTGGGATGCTGTGAGGCCACTGAAAGTTCTTCAAGGGATTCTGCGAGTACCATTGGAAGTCCTGGCAGGGATTTTGTGAGTTCCTTTGGAAGTCCTAGCAAGGATAAGAGTTGGCATTCTGGAAGTCCTGGATGGGACAGTACTGTAACAAGTTCTGAATGTCAGGCCTTTGTTCAAGAATGGACAAGTTTAACTCTGTATATATGGCATTCTTGTGTTCCAGCCACTCCCGAGACATACAGACCTAGATGTGGACTAACATCAAGGTGCATGCACCGACACTACACTAATGTAGTCACTTTGGACATCTTGCAGGCCCACTTTGATTAGTTTTAGGTTTGTTTCACTGCCAACTTTCCCCCAGTTATTTGTGTCTCCCAGTTTTTTGTTTGCTATCATATTACTGTATTCTATTCTAGGGATGTGGGAGTCCCATTTGGTGGCACCCGGGGGAGTTCCATGGAGAGGTCTCCTCACAAATATTTATTCACATTTAACATGATGGCTTCAGGCTGTGTCTGGTAAACAGTGGAATGTATACAAGTAGGATGTGCATGTAGGCCGGGAGCTGTCCTAGGGGCTGCAGTGCTGATCATGATATGACAAAACATAAAAGGCAGCTCAGAATTAGACCAGCTTATAACGAATCCATTGGGCCCCGTTCACACTTGCAAATGTAGCTGTTTGCAATTACCCAAAGGAGACTCAGTGGGATTAGCTGGGAGCGGGAAGCCCCAATGAAAGCCATGGAAGCCTGACTCGCCCACAGATATTCCCGGTCCTTCGCATGACTGAACTGTCTGTGTCCAAGGCTGATCATCCGCAGGTAATCACTTCATGAATGAATACATGCAAATGGCTCCAATTAGCTGTGGGCACTGTCTGGATATGATTGCTTTCATTGGGGCTCCCCACCTGCAGCTAATTGTAGAGAACCCCACTGAGTCTCCTGTGGGTAATCACAGACAGCTCCATTTAAATGGACCCCAAATCAGTATGCAGATGTAAAATGGTCACATAATACCAATGGGCTATCATTATTAGCAATATATTTTCTTTAGTATGCCTTCCTGGTGGCCAACCTGTAGCCCCATGGCAATGTGCTATCCTTTGATGCTTGCTGTGCCCCCACACCCCCACACCCCAGTATTCAGAAGTGGCATCATTGATTTGTAAAGGAAATAATAGTCGTGCTCTCTAGCAGTCTCATTTAACATGTCCCCAGTCTCTGACTGTCTCCTAAAGCAGGTCTCCAATCTCCAATCAGACCTGTAGCATGTCTGCAGTCTCTAAACCATCTCCAGTAGTATGTCTACAGTCTCTGACCATCTCCAGTAGTATGTCTATAGTCTCTGACCATCTCCAGTAGTATGTCTACAGTCTCTGACCATCTCCTGTAGTAAGTTTGCACTCTCTGACCATCTCCAGTAGCATGCCTGCAGTCTCTGACCATCTCCTGTAGTATGTCTACAGTCTCTGACCATCTCCTGTAGTATGCCTACAGTCTCTAACCATTTCCAGTAGAATGCCTTCAGTCTCTGACCGTTTCCTGTAGTATGTCTGCAGTCTCTGTCCATCTCCAGTAGTATGTCTACAGTCTGTGACCATCTCCTGTAGTATGTCTGCATTCTCTGACCATCTCCAGTAGAATGCCTTCAGTCTCTGACCATCTCCTGTAGTATGTCTGCAGTCTCTGACCATCTCCTGTAGTATGTCTGCAGTCTCTGACCATCTCCTGTAGTATGTCTGCAGTCTCTGACCATCTCCTTTAGTATGTCTACAGTCTCTGACCGTCTCCTGTAGTATGTCTACAGTCTCTGACTGTCTCCTGTAGTATGTCTGCAGTCTCTAACCATCTCCTGTAGTATCTCTGCAGTCTCTAACCGTTTCCAGTAGAATGCCTTCAGTCTCTGACCGTCTCCTGTATTATCTCTGCAGTCTTTGACTGTCTCTAGTAGTTTGTCTACAGTCTCTAACCATCTCCTGTAGAATGTCTGCAGTCTCTGACCATCTTCTGTAGTATGTCTGCAGTCTCTGACCATCTCCTTTAGTATGTCTACAGTCTCTGACCGTCTCCTGTAGTATGTCTACAGTCTCTGACTGTCTCCTGTAGTATGTCTGCAGTCTCTGACCATCTCCAGTAGTATGTCTACAGTCTCTGACCATCTCCTGTAGTATGTCTGCAGTCTCTAACCATCTCCTGTAGTATCTCTGCAGTCTCTAACCGTTTCCAGTAGAATGCCTTCAGTCTCTGACCGTCTCCTGTATTATCTCTGCAGTCTTTGACTGTCTCTAGTAGTTTGTCTACAGTCTCTAACCATCTCCTGTAGAATGTCTGCTGTCTGTCTCTGGCCATCGCCTGTAGCATAGGTGCCAACATTTCAAAAAGATTTTTAGGGATACTTTTCCATATGTCCAGGAAGCCAGTGTAGGCGGAGTAGTATGTTAATTAGGGGTGGGGCATTCATTTGTGGGCATGGTTTAACTAGAAGAAGAATATGGCACCACGCTGTGCCAAACATTGGTGTGATTTGAATTATGCTAAATATTAGGTGTGGTTGTGGTTGAACAGTCTGAGATTATCTTGGGATCCCCAATGCAATTCTGGTCTCCATTCCAACATCCCAAAAAACAAATAAACACACATATAACACTCAAAAAAACTTTGAAAATGTAAACATAAAGAACTGGTCCACACTCACTGATTGGTTGCTAGCGGTTACAGCACATCATCACCACTCACTGATTGGTTACTAGAGGTTACTGCAGTTAGTACAGGAAAGGGTCAAAGACTGCAGGCATAGCACAGGTGTTGGTAAGAGACTGCAGGCTTAGTACAGGAGTTGCTCTGAGACTGCAATTGTAGTACAGGAGAGGGTCAAAGACTGCAGGAGGAGTACAGGAGAGGGTCAGAGACCACAGGAGTAGTACAGGAGTTGGTCAGAGACTGCAGGAGTAGTACAAGAAAGGGTCAGAGAGACTGAAGGAGTAGTACAAGAAATGGGTCAGAGACTGCAGGCGTAGTACAGGAGAGGGTCAGAGCCTGCAGGCGTAGTACAAGAAAGGGTCAGAGACTGCAGATGTAGTACAGGAGAGGGTCAGAGGGTGCTGGCGTACTACGAGAAAGGGTCAGAGATTGCAGGCGTAGTATAGGAGTTGGTCAGAGACTGCAGACTTAGTACAGGAGAGGGTCAGACACTGCAGGCATAGTATAGGATATGGTCAGAGACTGCAGGCATAGTACAGAAGAGGGTCAAAGACCACAGACTTAGTACAGCAGTTGGTCAGAGAGTGCAGGCGTTGTACAAAGAAAGGGTCAGACACTGCAGGAGTAGTACAAGAAAGGGTCTGTGACTACAGGGGTAATACAATAAAGGGTCAGAGACTGCAAACGTGGTACAGGAGAGGGTCAGAGACTGCAGGATTAGTACAAGAAAGGGTCATAAACTGCAGGAGTAGCACAGGAGAGGGTCAGAGACTGTAGGTGTAGTAGAGGAGAGGGTCAGAGACTGCAGGGGAAGTACAGGAAATGGTCAGAGACTGCAGGTGTACTACTAGAAAGGGTCAGAGACTGCAAGTGTACTACAAGTAAGGGTCATAGAGCGCAGACGTAGTACAGGAGAGTATCAGAGATTGCAGGCATAGTACAGAAGAAGATCAGAGACTGCAGGTGTAGTACAGGAGAGGGTCAGGGACTGCAGGCATAGTACAAGAAAGGGTCAGAGATTTCAAGAGTAGTACAAGAAAGGGTCAGAAACTGCAGGAGTAGTACGGGAGAGGATCAGAGACTGCAGGAGTAGTACGGGAGAGGATCAGAGACTGCAGGCGTAGTACAGGAGAGGGTCAGAGACTGCAGGCGTAGTACAGGAGAGGGTCAGAGACTGCAGGCGTAGTACAAGAAAGGGTCAGAGACTGCAGGAGTAGCACAGGAGTTGGTCAGAGACTGCCGGTGTATTAAAGGAGAGGGTCACAGACTACAGGGGGCAGTACAAGAAATGGTCAGAGACTGCAGGCGTACTAATAGAAAGGGTCAGAGACTACACGCGTACTACAAGAAAGGGTAATAGACTGCGGCATAGTATAGGAGAGTGTCAGAGATTGCAGGCGTAGTACAGAAGAGGATCAGAGACTGCAGGTGTAGTACAGAAGAGGGTCAGAGACTGCAGGTGTAGTACAGGAGAGGGTCAGAGACTGCAGGAGTAGTACAGGAGAGGGTCAGAGATTGCAGGAGTAGTACAGGAGTTGTTGTAAGAGACTGCAGACGTAGTACAGGAGAGAGTCAGAGATTGCAGGCATAGTGCAGGAGAGGATCAGAGACCGCAGGAGTATTACAGGAGAAGGTCAGAGACTGCAAACATACTAAAAGAGCCCCCCTTTACCTTGTCAGCTGACAACCACTGGTCTAGATCATTCCTTCTAGCATACCATAGCTGATTAGGTCTGCACCGGGAAGAAGAAACACCAGAGCTCTCATCCTAAATTCTCCCCTGCTTGAGTTTTGCTGGCAGTCAGTACATTGAAGGGGATGTCCTGTGAGAGTGTCAGGTACCGCGCATTTACAGAGTAGAAGCAGGTAAGAATTAGAAATGTTTGCTATAATCCATGCAATGTATAAAAACATTCTAAACAAAAGTGAAGTTTCAGTTCTGTCTTTGTATGCATATTATATTTTATACTGTGTTAAAGTATAACCTCTTATGATGAACATTATCTGGTGGATGTCCCTCCTGAGGTTTCCAGAAGTCCCTGCTGGAGTCCTGGCAGTCCTGTCTGGTGAGCCATGCTCTGCTGCAGCACAGTGGTTGTATGCAGGTAATCTCCAGGCTCTGTCTGTGCTTCTAGGAATGGGTTGTCAGCATCCAGTCCATGACTCATACCGTTCAGCATGGGAATTAACAGGGAATTAAAATTTACAAGTAGCTCTACAAGCACGCTGGATACACTTCAGTGCAATTACACGGGGTCAGTCCCTGAGGTGGGATCTCAAGTGAGGTCACCATTCAGTCCTATTTATACTGCGAGAAGGACTGAAGAAGTCAAGGCTAAAGCCTTATGTGGAGAGACCGCAGCAAATCTCTCCCCAATTGTTGCAGATTCTGTGTTCCTGGTTGATAGCAGAAAAGAAGAAAACCAAAAGAAGAAGAAAAATATCTAATGCCGGATTAACTTGATTTAAAGGGACATAAAAATATATAAAATTAGTATTTACATAGAATAGGCCAGTGGTCTCCAAACTGCAGCCCGGAGGCCAGATGCAGCCCTTTGCTTGTTTTATCTGGCCCTTGGGGCACTATTTCCCCACTGTCAGGAACAGTGGGGCATACAGTAGTTCCTGACATTGACAATGGGGTACTATTCCTCCCACTGATATACCAATGATGGGGCACTATTCCTCCCACTGATACCAATGATGGGGCACTATTCCTCTCACTGATACCAATGATGGGGCACTATTCCTCCCACTGATACCAATGATGGGGCACTATTTCCTCCCACTGACATCAATGATGGGGCACTATTCCTCCCACTGATACCAATGATGGGGCACTATTCCTCCCACTGATACCAATGATGGGGCACTATTCCTCCCACTGATACCAATGATGGGGCACTATTCCTCCCACTGATACCAATGATGGGACACTATTCCTCCCACTGATACCAATGATGGGGCACTATTCCTCTCCACTGATACCAACGATGGGGCACTATTCCTCTTACTGACATACATTGATGGGGCACTATCCTCCCACTGATACCAATGATGGGGCACTATTCCTCCCACTGATACCAATGATGGGGCACTATTCCTCCCACTGATACCAATGATGGGGCACTATTCCTCCCACTGATACCAATGATGGGACCATATTCCTCCCACTGATACCAATGATGGGGCACTATTCCTCCCACTGATACCAATGATGGGACACTATTCCTCCCACTGATACCAATGATGGGGCACTATTCCTCCCACTGATACCAATGATGGGGCACTATTCCTCCACTGATACCAATGATGGGGCACTATTTCTCCCACTGATACCAATGATGGGGCACTATTCCTCCCACTGATACCAATGATGGGGCACTATTCCTCCACTGATACCAATGATGGGACACTATTTCTTCCCACTGATACCAATGATGGGGCACTATTCCTCCCACTGATACCAATGATGGGGCACTATTCCTCCCACTGATACCAATGATGGGGCACTATTCCTCCCATACCAATGATGGGGGCACTATTCCTCCCACTGATACCAATGATGGGGCACTATTCCTCCCACTGATACCAATGATGGGGCACTATTCCTCCCACTGATACCAATGATGGGGCACTATTCCTCCCATACTGATACCCTCCCACTGATGATGGGACACTATTCCTCCCACTGATACCAATGATGGGGCACTATTCCTCCCACTGATACAATCACTATTCCTCCACTGATGATGGGACACTATTCCTCCCACTGATACACAATGATGGGGCACTATTCCTCCCACTGACATCAATTTCCTCCCACTGATGATGGGGGCACTATTCCTCCCACTGATGGGAATGATGGGGCACTATTCCTCCCACTGATACCAATGATGGGACACTATTCCTCCCACTGATACCAATGATGGGGCACTATTCCTCCCACTGATACCAATGATGGGACACTATTCCTCCCACTGATACCAATGATGGGACACTATTCCTCCCACTGATACCAATGATGGGGCACTATTCCTCCCACTGATACCAATGATGGGGCACTATTCCTCCCACTGATACCAATGATGGGACACTATTCCTCCCACTGATACCAATGATGGGGCACTATTTCTCCCACTAATACCAATGATGGGACACTATTTCTCCCACTAATACCAATGATGGAGCACTATTCCTCCCACTGATACCAATGATGGGGCACTATTTTTTCCAGTGACACTAATGATGGGGCACTATATCTCCCACTGACACCAAGGAAGGGGCACTATTCCTCTCACTAATAACAATGATGGGGCACTATTCCTCTCACTAATACCAATGATGGGGCACTATTCCATCCACTGACACCAATGATGGGGCACAATTTCTCCCACTAATACCAATGATGGGGCACTATTCCTGC